CGGGGACCGGGCCGGGGCCGGCGGCTCGGGGCGGGAGGAGAGGCCGGCGGCTGCCCACGGCGCAGCGGGGGTCGACCTTCCTCGTCCCGGCTTTTAGGTCTCCTCTGAGGCCCCACTGCCTATATATGGGTTCTGCCGGGCTGCGGGTGCCGCCCGTAGCCCCTCTGCCCGCCCTCAGCCTCAGCCGGCCGCATTTCAGCAGGCAGTAAGGCCGCCCCCGAAACCAGCAGCTTTTGAAGGGCCCGAAGGTGTGAGGGGGCCTGGTGGGACCATGAGTTCGATGAGCGGCAGAGGAAGAGCAGCCAACAGGGTCACATCAACGAGGGCATCACCAACAGAGGCAAAGAAGTCCTTACCCCACTCCACTCAGGGCTTGTCAGGTCACACCTGGAATTGCTGTGTTCAGGTTTGGTCCCCGCCACACACAAAAAATGTGGACAGGCTGGAGAAGGTCCAGAGAAGGGCCATCAAGGTGATCAAAGGAGTGGGAAGCTGCCATACGAGGAAAGGCTGAGAGAACTGGGTTTATTCTGCCTTCAGAAAAGAAGGTTTAGGGGAGATCTCGACAGGCTGGAGAAGGTCCAGAGAAGGGCCATCAAGGTGATCAAAGGAGTGGGAAGCTGCCATACGAGGAAAGGCTGAGAGAACTGGGTTTATTCTGCCTTCAGAAAAGAAGGTTTAGGGGAGATCTCATCACCATGTTCCAGTATTTAAAGGGTGGCTATAAAGAAGATGGAGACTCCCTTTTTACAATGAGTCACATGGAAAAGATGATGGGCGATGCGTACAAGTTACTCCAAGGGACATTCCGATTGGACACAAGGAAAATTTTTCACAATGAGGACTATCAGCCATTGGAATCGTATCCCCAGGGAAGTGCTGGGTTCCCCAACACTGGACACTTTTAAGATGGAGCTGGACAGGGTGCTGGGCCATCTTGTTTAGACTGTGCTCATAGTAAGGATTGCAGATACATAGTACTGGGATTACAGCATCAACATGAAGAGCCCAGTGGCTGGTGGAAAGGGTCTTTGGTGCCCAGCTCCCTGCCGTGGCAGCACCATAGGCAGGCCCATGTAACTGCAGCTCCTCACCATCTGCTCCCCTTTCCCATCACTGACATCCCTACTGCCCTTCCTCCCCAAAAGATTGAAGCCAAAAACATGCTAGCTACTGCCCAGGTAGGAAAATCATGGCTTGCATTAAAATGTGTTAATATTTGTGCAATAACTCAGAAGAATTCGTTTCAATGCTTTACAGTTTAGCTGATGGTGGTCTTCAGCTCAATCCCCAATTGGCAAAGATACAACAACAGCCATCAAGAATGACAATGTCAAACAGTTACACTGAATAAGTGTCATTAAGAGCTAAAGGATGTAATTAAACTCAGCATCCAGAAAAAAAAAAAAAAGTTAATACTGGCAAGGGCCAGCAACAGACAGAGAATTTTCCACTGTGGAAACACATCTACAGAGCAGTGGGACAGCTGACGACTTCTGGCTCAGTACTTGGCACTGGCTTCCCTGCTCACCTGGGCTCTCATCCAGAAAACCAGGTGTGCAAGTATGGTAGCTATTGATGTCCTTCGTTACATTATTTGATAGATTAGGAATTTTAGCAAGTCAATCATCCTGATTTCTCATTTTTTAAAATGAGTTAAACACAAGGGTTTTTATAGTGCACCAGACTTATTGTAGGCTACATACTTGCACGTGTAAAAGTGTTTACAGCCTTGAAGTGAAAAGTCCTAATAAAACACAAAGATGCTATTAGTATTTGTGTCATTATAGCTCAACTACACCATTTCTTCTATTAACTTGTTAGTTTATGGCTTGAGGAATTATATATGGTCAATTATCATACTGCGTAATTGTTTTGGCTTAAATAGCAAAAAAACCCCAAACAACCAAACCAAAGTTCGCAATGTAGGGTATAAAAAGAACATTTTTACTGTATGAGGAGATAAATTCAAAATGTTCAGAGAGTGACAGAAACAAACCCTATTCTGTCACTCTGAGGAAGTCCTGGACAACAGGAGTAAAACCCTATTTGATACTGCACACGTTATTATATGTCTCTCTCTCTGTTTTAAATTGCCCCTTTCTAATCTCTAAATCTTCTTTTGCACAAAGATTTGCAACTTTTTATTCAGCTAATTCTTCAGAAAAATGGTGGTAAAATATCTGGTCCTGCCTTCCACTTTTTTGGTGTTGCTCTGGAAGTACAATACATATAAAAACAATCAGGTGCCTGTAACACACTGAAGACTACAGGAGGACTGTGGTCACAGCCCTCTGCCTTTTGGTAATCCCCATCTAACAGAGTCACAGTGCAAAGCTTTACCCCCCTCGCTCCCCAGGGGAAATCAAAAGACATCCAAAGCTGCTGGAAATTTCACCCAGAGCTCAGCTGGCATCACTACAGCCCCTGGACAAAAGCAGAAAAGAGGAATAACAATAGCATAGATTTGGGGATAATTAAAAAGTTCAGTGTCCAAGCTTATTTTTGATTCATGCTGACCTAGCTGGATCACAACTGTACTATCCTTTCTCTGTTTACTACAAAATGTTTACTTAAGGCTTCTGTGAGATGGTAAAAACCCCTGGCCCCACACAAACCCGTGAACCGAGCCGAGGGCCAGCTGGGGGTTACTCTCAGCTGCCAAACGTGGCAGTAAATGAAAAGGCGCGGTGCGATCCCCCAGCTATTGATCCCTCAAGGCCAAAAGACAAAGGGCTTCTGACAGAGAAATACTCTGGGAAGGGTTTGGCTGAAGTCCAGCGGCTTTTAGTGTGCCACAACACAACACAGCATGCTGGTGGCACAGAGAAGAGACAGATAACAGAAGTGAAAAACTGTCCAAGAGTAATTACAGGATATCAGACTTCATAAAGCCCTGTGACTTGGAGGAAAACTGTGGATGTTATTTTATAACGTGCAGAAGAAAATGGGAGGTTGCCCTACGAGGCAACAGCAACCCCGTTAAGTGCTCTTATGCCCTAGTATGTGGCCGAAGTGTTACGGGGAAGTGACAACCATGATGGTTTATGGCTCTCATGGAAGTAAGATTGCCTCAAAAGCAAAACTGGCTTAAAACCTCACGCCCCTCCCTTCGCCATTCCCATCCATTTCTCGGTGCTTGCCCTCCAGGTAGACACCTGCAGCAGCGCAGTACAGGCGCTGAGCACAAGATCACTGAAGTGATACAAGCTGCAGGGTCAGGATTGCTGGAAGATTTTCTTTTATTCACATTATTTCAGTGACCTGGCTTAAAGTGCAGCTTCATGTACACATTCCTGTGCACACTGTGCACGCTGTGGTGAAATAATTCCCAATCTACCACCATCAGCATCGTGGCTAATGCATTGTCCACTGTTGCTTAGGTTGAATCGGGAAACATCCAATGCCATCCAGTTTGGTGGATCTCTTAGAAACTCACCTTTGATTGCTACCAAGCTGTCTGCTCACTGGCAGTAATCTTGCAAATTCATTTGAAAAACATGGCATTAATACTGTATTTTGCAAGTCAAAGATAAGATTATACAAGACATTCCAGAAAATGGAGGGGGAGTACTCACAGAAGAAAGCGACTGAGAATAAGTAATTTGTATTACTGTTATCTTGTTCTCCCCTCACATTTTCTGGCATTCCTGGTTCAAGTTTGGCTGACACATTAGATAGAAAATATTTTAACAGTCTAATAGAGATGCAGTGTTCTGTCACAGTGCTCTAATCCTTTTCATTCAAGCAAAGCAACTAATCTATGGCATAGTCTCTTTAAACAGCCATCAACAACAGCTTCGTGGGGAAAAAAAGAAGAATATCTGAAATTTTTATGCTTCTTTTCTCAAAACCATACTTACTCATAGTTTTCTGTTTCAAAGTAGGTAATCTACTAGCTAAATCAGATGCTTTTTTTTCCAGACAGCAGTTAAAGCAATTAATGTGAAGCCTACTGTAACTAGAGGAGTGGATAGCAGTTAAAGTGATATCCCAGAATATTTTTAAAAGCTGTGTGTGGAAACAATTAAAATGGCAAAAGGAAAAAATCATCCCTTAAATTGTAGATAACAACCTATCCACACGCTTACACGTGGCTGCTGATAATTCCTCATGCTAAAGAGCAAGGCTTTCAAGCTGATAGATTCAATATACTGCAGACTGGTAGTATGGGCACAACAAAAAATACAATGCACATTGATCAATGAGTTTCAGGAACAAGGTCTGTGACACGGAACATGAAATAAATATTTTGGTGATCAATTAGTTACCTAATTAAATGGAATCTGGTTTAGCAGTTTTACAAATTAGATTTCATGGAATCACGGAATTGTCAGTGTTGGAAGGGACCTCTAGAGGTCATCTAGTCCAACTCCCCTGCTAAAGCAGGATTGCCCAGAGCACATCACTCAGGACTTCATCAAGGCGGGTCTTGAAAATCTCCAGAGAAGGGGACTCCACAACCTCCTTGGGCAGCCTGTTCCAGTGCTCCGTCACCCTCACCGTGAAGAAGTTTTTCCTCATATTTGAATGGAACTTTCTATGTTCCAGCTTGTGCCCGTTGACCCTCATCCTATTGCTGGAAACCACTGAAAAGAGTCCGGCTCCAACATCCTTCAACCCACCCTTTAGATACTTGTAAACGTAGATAAGGTCTCCCCTCAGGCTTCTCTTCTCCAGGCTAAAGAGCCCCAGCTCTTTGAGCCTTTCCTCATAAAGAAGGTGCTTCAATCCCTTAATCATCTTAGTTGCCCTACGTTGGGCTCTCTCGAGTAGTTCCCTGTCTCTCTTGAACTGGGGAGCCCAGTTTGATTTCCATCAATTTGTGCCATTGCCATTCTCAGAATCACTCCAGGGCAGTTGCTCTATAGCTATGAGCTCCTGTCTTCAGCACTTACTAGAACAAACATATATGACAACAATTTGGTATACATGGAAAAAAGATGTGTACAGAGATTTAACCCACAGGCTATAGCATCAAGTCTCAAATGGCATCTCTGACCACCTCAAAGGCAACATTCCTCTCTTAAAAATATGAAAAACTCTGTTTCTTCCTCCTTAAATATGGAAAAATATTCAAACATGTCTTCTTGATAAAAACGTAAGCAATGTAAATTCCAATAACAACCAGCCCTCCAGCTCTCCATAAAAACAAAGATATAGGTATACCTATGCACAGGAGTGCTTTTTTCCCATATTTTTCATTTTCCCCCTCAGTGGCTCCAGATCCTAAATCTTGCCCCCCACTCCTCTCGTCATAACCAGGCATAGTTATCAGCAACCTTGCTGGGCTACCTGTTATTATAGATTGCTATAAAGATGCTAAGAAGTTTAAAGAACACTGAACTTAGGAAAGCACAGGAAGAAAAGGGGGAAATGGTGCAGAACTGTAATTTTCAGTGTTTTCACTCCACCAAAAAGAGATGAGCTACTCACAAATCATCACACATCCATACTACCCACTCATCAACACAACAAAAAATATGCATTTGAAACTAGTTGATCTACTTAAATTCAATGAATAAATTTGAGATATGTCAGGTTTATGCCTGAATGGGCTATATCAGGGAAGTATTGCATTTCATTGTATATTTTTTTTAAATAGAGGTGCAAGGATGAACATTCATTAGTTCTCCCATGACTATCTTCTAGTTTGGTATGTGTAAGCCATGACAGAGGAGTTATTAAATGGGAATTAATATCTTCTAAGTGTTAATTAAACAGCCAGTTCTCTTCTTGTAATGTACACTTTTCCTCCATCCTATGCATGTTTTTGAGAAGAGGAATCATAATAATCTTCCTGTCTTACCTATCTGTAATGCGTTCAAGTATTTGCATTGCAACACTTTTGTAGCCACATTTAGCCATTCTATGCTGTTGTACTGACTTTTTTATTATTATACCTCAAAGTTATTCTAAAAATCAGCATGCAAGGTGCAGAAAAATAAATAAGGGTGATTTGGTTTTGTTGTCCCTGCAAAACAGAACTTATTTTGAGTGGAGAAATCACCAAAAAGAAGTAATTATTTAATATAGATTAATTTCTCTATATTCATTTTTATCATCTGATAGCTAAGAAAAATGAAATGTTGCCAAAGTAAAGACTCAAGAGTTTTGGTCTATGCTGTTTCACAGAATTTTTGCAAATTATTTTTCAAAAGTGTTTTCACACAGAGCTCTTTAACAGAGTGGTGCTACCATAATAAAAGAAGTGAACTTGTATTGTTAGAGCAGATTATCATCAGCACTCTGCGTTCGTAGAAGGAAATTTTATTAAGAGATGAAAGAATTCTATTGCACTGTAAGAATGTAAATTTATCTAAAATATCATCTAATGAAATGAGAGTAATCTTTTGGTTTACAAATTATTGAGAGCATCAAGAAGCATCCAAGTCTTAAAGTCATTGCACATCCACACAATTCTTAAAGGGCTTTCTACACAAAGAATTTGACTAGAATAGTTATTACAGAATAAGATAGCTATTCTTGACCAGGTTCTGTGTGCAGATGTTATTAATAGACTATTTTTATTATTCTAAAAAGGAGTCTCTATGGAAAGCTCTCCAAGAATAACTACTAAGCTCATGTGGGGTTCTATGTGCTGTTTAATGAAAATATTTTTACTATGTTTGACTGTTTAACTTAAAAAGATTAAAAATATGGATAGCAGTCTTGTGCTCTTTTAACAAAGTACTTACAGTATTTTCCAGAACACCATTGTTCAGCAAAGTACATACAGAAGAAGTATATATATTAAATGAACTATATGCACTATAACCAGTTTTCCAATAATTCTGTAAATGCATTCAGAGTACTCCAGAGTACTGGCATTTCCTGCAGTTGCTTGAGTCAAGCAGAGAAACCGTGATGCAGTTGTTGCTGAAATAAGAGAGAGGAATGTAAAGAAACTGTGAAAGTGCTGTGAAACTGTACTAGAAAAAGTCAGAGAAATGCTGGGGAGACAACACTGCACACAGGCTATTGGCTTCACTTGCAAGTAAAACAAAAACGTGAACAGGGTAAAACAGGAATTTGACCTCATGCTTATATAAACCCTATGCATTTAAGTGAGTTTACTGTGGTATAAGAGTCATCTTAACGAAATCCAAATTAAACCCTATATGTGAGTCTATGCATTTGGGCAATTAGAACTGAATGCTTACTGTGGTGGAAAGATTACTGTAGTCTGTCTTCATCTCATTGTCTAATGGGATACCTTCTCTTCACGATTCATCTCTTCATTCCCCTCGTCAATTAGTAGGCATTCTACGAGCTCTCCTTTATTTTAATTCCATACTGCCATTTCTTAACATTCCCCACCTCTATACTACCGGGCCCCTCCCATGTATTTAAATTTTACATCAACACGGTGTTTCTATCGCCATGTGGCCTTAAACATTAAAGCAGTCCTACTGAAATCAGTGGAAGTTTGTGTATGCTTGAAATTATGATGTGTTGGGCCACACAAAATAAAGAACTTTTCTATTGTGTATTGAATAGTTTTGATTTTATTAAATGTGTGTCACTATTGTACTGGTAATATATACTTGCCATATATATATGTGTGCACATTTTTTTCAGAAATATTGCTTGTATTGTAGATAGATATTCGCATATGCAAAACGAGCTAAGATTTAGATTCAAAGAGTGACATGGTATCCGACTTCTTTGGTCTCTATTAAAATAGCTGCGAGGGACTTTATTTATAAACAATCTTTCCTTGTTTTGCTACAGTCTAACAAAACATAGCCAGCGTTGCTGTTCTGATTATCAGAGAAACGCTTATGATAGTTTTCTAGTTATAGAGCCACATTACATCAGTGGTAATGTATTTTTAAGATGTCATTAGAAACTACTCAGAGGCACTATTAACTGTCACAATGAGTAATTTTCCTTGATTCATAAATTTAAAGGGCCATTACACCTCCTGTATATATAATCACGAATCTCCTAGACTGGTACAAATTATTAATTAAAAAAAAATATATATATAATATATATAGATATTAAAAAAAGGCTTTGAAAGTCGCCATGTAGTATCCATCTCCTGCCGGATAGCCCCACCGCCCGCAGGGAACACCCGCTTTCTCCAGCCCAGCCGCATAGAGGCACAAGGAGTCACTGCGGCTCCAGGCAGCGCCCGCCTCATCCTCATCCTCATCCTCATCCTCATCCTCATCCTCACCCCGCTCCCTTCCCACCCGCGACATCCACATTTTTGTTGCGTGATTTCACCCTCTTCATTCCCCCTTCCACCCCCGGCTGGGTTTGGCTTCGGGAGACGTACCACCAGGGAGGATGGGCTCCTTGGAGAGGTTTAAGCTTTTCGTAAAGTTTATTCTGCTGCAACAAATGTCCTTGAGCTTATGAAGAGCTGGCGGTTTAAGACTAATTGGAGGGAAGAGCTGCTGAGCACAGCGCGGCACGGCCCCGGGGGGCGCGGGGGGCACCGCGCCGGCCCCACGGCGAGGAGGAGGAGGAGGAGGATGAGGA